AGTTCTGTAAGGTACAAAGTTGCCATAGAAATTGTTAATACCAGTTCAGAGGACGCACACCGATGGCCGACCACGGTGAATCTGCGGGACGGCCCCCAGAATGCGGATGCGCGTTCAAGCACAGTCAGTCTGAAGGCTGGCCCGTGTTCGCGCACCGATTTCATCGCGGCCAAGGCCTCTTGACCGAGACGCTCTGTGCCGCGGCGTTGTCGGGACGACACTCCAGGTAATCATCTCCCCTAGCGAAATTTATGCTGTGGGCGTCCAAGTGCCGCAGAAGTTCTGACAGCAGTCTTCAGCTTGTTGGTCATTGCTTGAACTCGCGGGTCCGACGCGCCGGGGAGCATCCTCAAGACCGTCCCAGACTTGATTCGGAAGATCGTGCTCCTACGGGTTCAACGTGCGTGTGTGTGATCATCTTTGCCGTTCCACTGTATTCTCTGCCTATTCTCTCTAATATATAATGCGTTGGATTAAATATTTACCGCCCAGGGTGCCGGACTGACCCACAGTGAAAGCTAAACGACTTACATCGTGACGCCAGTTTAATAAATGTACTTGGGTGGCAGGCGGAGCTATATTAGAGTAACGGTAAACAGACGCTGGGTGCTGCTGCAGCTTTTTAAACAACTAGCCCAATATGCCATTTTTCTTTTCGTGGGATTACGTTTTGAAGCGTCAACAAATGTTTTGGTTTCGACATCCTCTGCATCGTTTAAGTAACCCAGGTACATTGGAAAGCATGACTTTTCGAGCAGGACAGTTGTTAACAGCGTATGGAAAAATAAATGCCACACTTAGGTGATAATTCCTCAACACGCGATAGGGTGGGGGTGGGGGGGGGGGGTCAAACTGACGCCCCGAAGGTTCTGGCTGGAGTGATTTCCGAACGGCGCAGCGTAGCCTCGCCAATTAATCGCTGTAGACAATTGAATAGCGATCGTGTGGCATAAAAAATTAGATGTACATTGTAAGGTCGCTGACCTATGGCAGGTCAAAGTCAGACCATGGTTTCAGCGAAGATAATTTCCAGGGAATCGTTCAATCTGATCCAACACAACGAAGTAGGCAAGCAGATGGAGACAATGTAGACAACGCCATACATTTCCGAGATACTGTTTCAGGCAACACACAATTGAATAACAAATTGTATTGACCTCAGGTATGAAAGTCAGCCCAAGGGTTTTTTTATTAAGCTTAGTTTTTTATTTACCAGCCTGTTTTGTATCATTCTAGGGCCCGCTGTGTGAGGTATTTTCTGGTACTCATTTCGAATTTGTTGATAGCAGGAACCATATTATACACCCTCCACGGACCTCTTAAAGATCAGAATAGGTCACTGACCTAAAATGACCTATGTCAACATCTTGTTTTCGGGAACATACTGCCTAATGCAGTTTTTGTCGCTTATTCAAATGCAAAGCTCAAGGAAATCTTGTGTTATGTTAGTCGCCATGACCTTCAAAAGATAAAAAAGGTCACTGACCTTAAATGAGCATATGGCCTTTTGCTTAGAGCGGTTATCCAGGTTCTAGGAGCCCTTCAGAGACCAGTCTGCAATCTGACTTTTTTACCTTATTTGACCCGAAGGTCATGACCTAGAACCTCAAACTTTGACCTGTGACCTCCCGAGCGAAGGGTATCCAGCTGGCCACCCGGGCGCCGTGTTAAGGATCTCAGCCGCCTCCGATCTTTCCACCCCGCCTTTGGCTCCGGCGGGAAAATTGAAAACGACCTCGATACAACGAATCTTTCATCTTTGATCGGCCCCGGGCGGTACTACATATTATGACCTCTGTTGTGAGCACGCCCAGCCGGCCCGGCGGCACGGCATGCCGTCCCTGCCGTGTTGCGGCGCGGCCTCCGCCGCGCTGTAGAATGCGACCTGCCACCGCGGGCGCCGACCGCCGTCCCGTGGCGGACCGTACGGGTCACGTGATAGGTGCGTGTGTGCCAGCCCAGTGTAAGCTGACTTGTAAGTGGTTGCTCACCCAAGCTGAATGTAATGTGGCTGTTTGGAATAGCAGGGCAATACACCTCTGGACTCGGCCCAATACAGATCGCCGCATCACTATACGTCTCTCTCTGACTGAGCTGATCTGAACCGCTGGACGAAGACATCACAACCTTCAGTAGCCTAAGCTGGCCGGGACGAGCATACTTTGGAGATTGGCACACATTTTGATGCCAAACACAAATGTGGTTTGTGTTTAATGTCAAACACAAATATTTCGGCCACATCTCAGCTTCCCACTTAAGGCTGTTACTGGAATATTTGTATGGACTTCTTACTTTCCATTGAAACATTCCTCGACAATATACAAACTATAAGGTATTGGATACTGGTATCGTATTCTAGGAAACACATAACAACAGTGAATGCAAATTGCTTATGGCAATTGTAATGAGTGTATGTGAGCCCTTAACGCTATTTCCTGTGATCTTACACCTTCAAAACATCTCTAAATCCTGTGGAGATCTCCAAACGCTTCCCGGCAGAGTTTCGCAGGCCGTCCACCAGCCCACGTTGGCAAGCAGTTTACATGCAAGCGGTCCATGTTCGCAAGAAGTTCACGCGCAAGCAGTCTACGTTCGCATGCAGTTCACATGCAAGCAGTTCGTCAGTTCCATTACGCTTCCCTCCAGACGGCGAACAGACGTGCCGTCCCAGGCTCCTCAGCGCGGAGCCGTCGGTCCTTTCGAGACGGGTATATGATAAAGATATGATATAAAGATGTAAAGAGATATAAGATATAATGATATAAAGTATAAGATATAAAGAGATGATAAACACCGAGCCAGAGGCGTGTCAGTTGGGATATATGGGCCCGAGTGGTAACCGTCATACGACATTCTTCTGCCTTGTTTACTAACAGACCATTCACGGAAGAGGCGCAGGTCGGCAACCAGCGGTCGGCAGCTGCCAGTTCGATATGCGATGTTAGTTCAGTCACCCGAATTACACGTTATCACTTTTGCATCCATCATAACTTGACTTTCATCTTGATAATGTCATGTTTGACGAGACTTCGGAATACAATGACCAATTTTGGACAAGTTTTTTTTTTAGCTCCAATCAGACACAAGGAGGTGGGTTCGAGTATTGAGCAAACGAAAGGAAGGTAACGAACGCAACTTACAACGTTGTATTCGGCGCGAACGGAAATGATAGTTAAGGAGGCAGCATATATATTATATATATATATATATATATATATATATATATATATAATCCCTTAACGAATGATTTATGCGGTTACATCCAGTTGACAATGTTTTTTATGCTCGCAAAATATCAACCAGAACCTACAAAAACATGAACGATACACAAAAAATAAAATCCTTGCGAAAACGCTTCCCAGAAGCACTTTGCTGGGCTGCGCCATGAAGTGTCGCTGTTTCGTTCAAAATAGAAATGTATCACGTTGAGTGAGCCTCATGAGGTGCTTCGGGTCAGTGCAGAACACATTTTGTTGCTCCATAAGGTGCTTTATGAGGTGCCCCTAGTCAGTGCAGAACACATTTTGTTAAATCAGGATTTAAGTGCAGAGTATTCAATCTCACACAAAGTCCCTCATCTCAACTCCCCTCCGGTCACCGGGGTTACCTCCTAGGTTAAGTCCTTTAAGTATAACCTGATCCTGACCTAGCCCCACTTTTTGAAACGCTCCTTCTTCCTACGTCAAAGCATTGGGTAATGTGCTGAAGGGGTAAACCGAATGAAGCGGACACGGACAGCCGACGAGCACGTTCCAGTGAAAGCGGACAGCACACGGCGCTCTGCTGTGTTCCCGCGTGCATCAAATTGGCATGGTGGCACTCTCTGCGTGCGATTAACAGCATTTCCTTGGCTTCTGTGCGTGGGACACCACGCTACAGGCCTGGGGGTCATATCAAACGCATAACCGTTGCCCACCAACAGTCGGCCGATTTACTAATATACGTTGCCACATGCGCGGCAGGTGGCGGAAGTGTGCGCTTCTGTCACGTGCACGCGTTCGCAACCCGCCGCGCGTGGTAATACACATCACTCATTTGATCGCCGCATCTTTGCAAATTGACGATGCGGTCAGCACTCAAGTATTTAATGATGTGCCTGGCAAGGGTCAACCGAATAAAGTGGATGCCGTACACGGACAAGTAGGCTTCAGTACCAGTTGATGCTGTTCAGCAGCTGATGCTACTACAGCAACCGTATGTTGGACACAGCGCAACCCACCGTACGGACGCAGTTAGTAATACACCATCACGGGGTCACTGGAATCAAAAAGGCATCCGCCGGCGACCGATTTACGTCGCCAGGTGGCAATCCCACAGCCCTATCACGCGCACATGGCCGCGCTGGCGGCGCACGAAAATCGATGCATTTAACTGACCGTCTCAACTTAGCAAAAGTCGTCGGTGCAGCCGTCCCTCAAGTATTGAGTGATACGCCGTCGGGCGTCATCCGCATACAAAGGATGTCGTCTGGCGACAAGCGCGTTCCATTGCCAGCCGATAGCCCTACCGCAATGCTATCGAATGCACACGGTCACATTCTCCGTGCGCGCAACTATCACCATTTCTGCAGACTATCGTATGTTGGCCACCACGCAACGGCGCAGTCGACCACATTTAGTACTGCACCTTGAGAGATTACTGCACAAAATAGGTGCTGTGCAGCGTGCGCACTGACCATAGATTCGCAATGTCAGACGATGGTGCTTCCAGTGCTACCATGTGCCCACGTTCGCACCCGCCGCGCAAAGTTTTTTTACATACGTAAAACTTCGCCAATCGCCGATGCAGCCTTCCCGCCAGCATTGAGTGATGCATTATCGGGGGCAATCGAATAAATGAATTCCGTCGGTCGACACGAATGTTGCAATGCACTCTCCAAAACACTGAACCTTACCACGCAATCCAAAATAGCGAAACTTAACAATGAATAATGGCACAAACACAGCATGGATGGCAAATACGTTGCCCTTCATTCGTCATCTAGATAGGGATAGACTGAGTAAATAGTACGATATATTTCCTGCACCTTCGCACAACAAAAATAAATAATATTCTTGGAACACATTGCCAATACTGACTGATAAGCGTGAGATCCTCAACCCTGAACAACGTAACGCGGTGAGATCAAAGATTGGACTAGAATACTGGCATGGCAGCCGGACGAGCGGCGATGGCGGCCGGCGGGGCGCGAGCGCTGGCCGCCGGGTCAGCAGGCCGTGGTGCGAATCACGCCCTCCAGGATGCAGCGTGACCTCAGGTTGACCTCGCGCGCCAGCAGGCTGGCCCGATCCCACTGGGCGGAGGCTCCGCCGTCTCGCCAAGGCTGCCGGCGGCACCGAATGTTGGCTGGTGGGGGATTCCGCCCACTCTGTGGTCGCCGGCGCTATCGTGGTGCCCGGGGTAAAATCCCTTCCCCAAGAGCATACACCTCCTACAGCAGGGACGAAAATAAAATTACAATGGTCAGGAAACATCACAGATTTATGCATGAACACGTAGCCAGGAGCACACAATATCGATCGCGCAAGACGACCTTCTACCCATGGAGCACCAGCGGTCTCCTGGCGTTTGGGCAACGACCGTAACGCCAGAGTGTTGGAGCCGGGGTGACCCGATTTCGGCAGTCTGCACTCTCACCTGACTCTTGGCGACGGCTGCTGTCCGCTCCCCTTCACTCTGCGCTCCTACCGACCTGCCCACGGGACAAAGACACGGTCACAGCAGGAGACACCATGCTACGGCGCGGTGGGTGCTGCTGATTCGCGTCGGCTTTGGCACGTTTTTATCAGCCCCGGAGGCTGAGTGTGTTTGGGACTTACGGAACTTACAGCATACGATCCACTAACAAACAATTGACTGTGTGAGCGTCGATTCGGCTATCGTGCCCACTGAGCTACACCACGCACAAACTATTTCGAATCATCACAGATAATGTCGTCCCAAAGCACAGCTGCCGCTCAGGTTCTCACTCCCCGAGGCATTACCGGAGAAAAGCCTAACCTGGGCAATGCCAATAAAATACATCACACGGCACCAGCGTGCCCGCAACACTCAAATCGGTTTTTCTCGGCCACTGTTTCAACCCTTGTCCTTTCCCTAAATTTTC